ATGGTCAAAGATGCTGCAGTGAAAATCCCCAACCAAGGCAGCTGCAGCCAGCTCTCCATCAATTGGATGCTGCTGGGCCACAAACAGCAGGAAGTGTTCCCATTTCTCCTCCCTCTGCCTCTGTAGCTGGTTTTAAGTTATGTGAGGGGAATTAATTTTTAAGCAAATCCTGTGGGATTTCTTGGCCAAAGTGAGTCAGACCAAATGGGAGCCCCACATAAGAGGAAAGGGGGAGTGAACCTCACCAAGTCAACCAAAGTATGAAAGCTCACACAAACCCAGAGAACATCCCTGAAGGCAGATGAAAAGCATGAACAGAGGCAGGAAACAACAAATTTTAAAATTATATCTACCTTTCTTCTTTGGCCTACAACACACTCAAGGTACTGGTGGTCAGGAACAAAGTATTTATGGGGAGGGTGGTGCAGAAAACAACAGCAAGAACTGATCTGCCCAGGCTGGGGTCCCCACACACCAAACACAAGGTCTGGGGGCTGACCAGGTGGAGATACCCCAGCAGGACCCTCAGAGGGAACAAGAAATTATCCCTCCCTGCTGCTGGCAGTGAAAGCGGACCCTGCCACAGCTGCCCTGAGGGCAGACAGCTCCACCCCTGCTCAACTATGGAAAAGCAGACAAGAAGCAATTCCTTGTGAGCCTTGTTTGGGGGACAGGGAGGAAGAAGGAAACCTCCTGAATTACTGGTCCCAGCCTGCAGTGGGGATGTGATGTTCTGTGGCACACCTGAGGGCTGTGAAGCAGGAACAGTACAACAGTACTTACCCAAAGAACCCCAGCCACTCAGCACTGGCACGGGGCTTTCTGGTCCTCAGCTGAAAGGCACCACCAAACACAGAGCAGGGTGTGGGTGCCTGGCACCCAGGGCTGGCAGAGGGCTCACCCTCCCTGCCCCATTCCAGGCTCCAGCCTCACTGGCACCCTGCATCCCCGCTGCCAACCCCGAGGCTCCTGGCCTGCCACTGCACTGTGTCACCTCATCACTCATCCACAGGGCAAGGGCACCCCGCCTGGCCTTGTATGGAGCTGCTGACTCAGGCACTGAGAGCACTGGGCAGCTCTGAGGTGGAGTTACTCACAAACGTGGGCAGCTCTGATGGTGAAAGCAAACACCAGCTGGCATCACACAGCGGCATTAGGAAACTCAGTCAGCAGACCACAAATTGATCTGTAGCACACCCAGCCCGCTTTACTGCCTGACTCCTCACTGTGCAATAAACCAAAAAAGCAATCTGAGTTCAGCTTACAAAACAGCAGTGCTTCAGGAGAGCTGTGGGGACAGCAGGGAGGTGTGCCAACAGCAGAGCTGTGCAAGCACCGCTGAAATGAACCCGGTGAGCTCAGGGGCAAAATCCCAAGCAGAAAGCACTGTCCAGGAAAGCACAGCCCACGTGGGACTGGCAGAGGGAATGGGAAAACACCTCCAGCTTGGTTAGACCTTGGTGTTGCTGAAATACAGGGCTCAGCAGCCCACACGAGTGAAACCCAAGCTCAGAGCTTCAGCTGCATCCTGCAGTCTGAGCTCAAAACACACAAGGCTGCATGGGAGCACTGCCTGTGTCACAGCTGGAAACTCTGCAGGAAGACATCCCACTGAGGTATATCCCACAGATCTGCCTTAGGAGGCTATCAGGCTTCCAGCAGCATTCCCAAACTGATGTCCTGTCCCAACTTCGACCTTTCATCTCACCTGAGATACCACCAGGTAGCTTTTTGCCCTTGGAAAAGGATTCGTACAAAAGGCATGGTGGCTGACATTTCAGATTTCAGTTCTTACCACATCTCCTCTTCTTCCTCCTCGCATTTCCAACAGAAGCAATTTCCACTTTGTTGTGGCCAGCACATGGCAAAGAGTGAAGGGCACTGCTGCTCCCATTATCCATGGGGTGGCACTGAGCACCGGATCAGCTGCCTGCCTTCCAACCACCGCTGCCTACAGAGGCTTTCCTGCCACCTCTTCCCACCCCTGGCGCAGGGATGAGCCCCCTCCTCCTGTCCCCATGCCAGGACACCATCTCCTCACTCTCCTGTGAGCCCATGCCAGCACCTACACAAGTTCCTCAGCAGCAAAACACTTTCTCCATCAAGTCTCCATCACCTACTTCGTAAACAAACGCTTCTGAATTCTGGCACAAAATAAAATCATGGAATTTGAAACTCTCAGAGCCAGCTAGAGACTCCCATGATTTTTTAATGCATCTGAGGGCACAGTGCACATATATGTGCTAATACAAACTGAGCAAAAATTAACAAAGGAGAAAAAAAACAACTTAGAGGAAACCTATTAGATATACTAAATATGTGTCTTTAGGAAAAATTGATTCTCAAACAAAACCTGCTATGATAGCACACTACTTCTATCATTTTAGAGTAAATATATATTTAATTAGAGCAATCTGTGTTAGTCTGGTATATTAAGGCATATATTAGTTATGAATTTGGAGTGCAGCAACACCACTTTCAGTTTCCAGTGTCCTTCAAAATAGTATTTTTGGACACAGATTCAAAGCACTAAAAACCTTAAAACAAAGACATGAATGAATAGAATACCTGCAGAACAAATGCTGAAAGGGCAAATTCAATACTATAGCAACACAGAAATTTCATCATTTCACATTTCAAAAAAACAGTTCAGAAATTCCATCCATTTCAAACAAGTTTGGAGCCCACCACCTGATGAGATTAAAGCCTCACTTCTTTTATGTGAGCACAGCTCATGAAGTAAAGGAAAGAGACTTGGGGAAATATTTACATGACTAATACGTATACCTGCATCAGGCATTGATACATAACTTCTTATCTTCAGTGACATGATCTTTCAGGCAAAAAAAAAAATCAAGTCATCTGCAAACATGTCATGTCTTTGAAAACATTAATGCAGAACTCAGTGCATTTCAAAACTCAATGTTTTGATTGGAATGTGAGGAATGAGTGAGCCAGAAGTGAATTAAAGCCAATTATAGTAACTAATTGCCATAATGCTGTGGAAAAATGCAGACCATAGTCTTTGCTTGAGGTTGGAAGACACACAGAAGCAACTTTCACTGGCATTTTACAGCTGTAGTAATTTAGAAGAAACTCAGAGGAGGAGAAATTACTCTTCTAGGTAATGAAAGGCTGGCGTTTGAATTTGAGCAATTTTGAGAAGTTTTGTCTGTATTCTTCTATTCAAATCAAGTATGTTTAACACCTGCAAGATCTTTTTAATTTTAAAGGCTTTGCACAATTATAATAAAGGTGGGTTACCTTTAGTGGATGCTGACATGTTTGATTTTCATTAACAAACACCTAGGCAGTTAATGCTGCTTGGCTTTGAGGATGAAAGGCTAGCCTGGCTTTTCAAAAAAAGAAAAGGCTCTGCAGAGAACTCCAGGGCACAGCAGGAGGAAGATCCAGGTCTCCTGCTCACACAGCAAGAGAAGGAGTCCCAGCTTGTTACACTCACACAGCCCTTAACCCACCAGGCTCTCCCTTCAGCAGCACCACCAGCAGCAAAACAGGCAATGTGTGGTTTTATTGTGTAATAATTTGGACCAACAGCGAGGGAACCAAGACAAACATCCTCCTCTCACGCTGATCACTTTGTCTGTTTTATCTCTTATCCATACACTGTGTCCTGCCTTGCCCACGAGTGCATGGGCTGTCTCCTGCAGGGTAATGCCCCTGCTGGCAGGATTGCCTGTGATGGGACTGCCTGGGCCTCCTGCACCTCTGGGAGAATAAACCCAGGCTCTAATGTCACCCCAGTTCCAAGTTATTGCACCGATATTTTAGCAGCAATGAGCAAAACTTTATGAGAACAGCATGAACAGCTGATGCCTCTCAAGGCTTCAGTGCCACACAAATCATCGCCTTCTGCAGGCAAAAATGCTCTTCTGATGTTTCCCTGTCGCTGCCTTGGCCTAAAACTGTGCCAAGAGCAAATTCAGTTTTACCCCAATTGCTTTGTCTGATACAATCAAGTGCCAAGGATTGTCCTCAGTGCCATTTGTTGCCCCATGTTTTCACAATGGATATCATCTTCCCCTCAGACAGCAAACTTTTAACTGAGCCTGGTGGCTTTTCCTTTGGCAGGGGAGATGGAAGAGTTTATTGAAAATAATATTTGCTCTTCTTTGGCAATGATGTTGTCTTTAGCAACAATTTTTTAAAAAATCATTTCTGTCATTCAAACAACCCCAGTGAGGTTCAGTTTTAATTCATTAAAAAAAAATAAAACCACACAATCTTTCCATTAAACTCTTGGGACTATTCTTTCTGGGATTTGTTTGTTATTTGTTTCTTTTTTTTCTTGAAATGCAAAGGAAGAGATTATAGCTTAAGAATTGCAGAGTAAGCAAAAGAAAGAAAATGAAGGGGAGGAAGACTTAGGAAAAGTTCTTCTGGAGAACCTGTTGTTTAAAAAGAATTCCACCACCGGCTTAAAATACAAAAATTAAAATAAAATTTTAAAAGAGTAATTAAATAAAGCAAGGCAACGGGTCACCACCAGCTTCAGCTTCCAGAGGTTCAGCAGGTACTGGGAAGAGCACTCCAGAGCGAGCAGCAAAGTTAAAGATTTATCCTGGGTTATTGCCTGCTTTTCCTGAACACAACAAAAAACCCAAACACATTACCTTATTACCTTTATGACATATGTTAATATGTAAAATAGCAGTGTAAGGAAAGGTAGCAGAGGCCAAAGAGAGGAGGACAGCGCTGTTTGTGTGTGCCCCATGCCCACCAACACCAGCTCCTCATCCCCAGAAGGGTGAACCCCAGCACCAGTCACCCTGGCCAACTCCTCAGGGACCTTGATGTGCATCACAAGGGACACACATGCAATGACACCACCACAGGGAAACTCTGGGGCCTCTGCTCGGCCCACAAGCAGGGTAACACCACAGCATCCACCACAAGAGGAAGGTGCAAACCCAGCGTGAAGTCACTACTAAGTCTCTGAACCCAGGAAATCTTTATAAAAGGAAGAGATGAAACAAGGAGACTTATAAAGAACTACATTTATTTTTGTTTACAGCAGATATCATAAATAAAGCTAAAACAATTTTCACCATGTGCAAAATACAGAATTTCCATGTGAAAATTTAAATACAGAGTTAAAAACTATTTAATAAAAATATTCAGTTAAGATTATAAAGTAAAATGAAGACAGAAGATTTAGGAGGAGAAGGACAGAATCCTCACTGAGCAGGAAGAGCAAGGAAGACTCTGCAACAGAGAGTAAAAAACACAGCAATAGGAAGGGTTTGAAATGGCAGACCTTTATGTCATGACCTTCATATTAAAGCATGCTGAGCTTTGTAACAACACACTGCAGCCCTGAAATACACTGGGAGTCACATCCCAGCCATTTGTGCAGGAAATGACGTTTGAAACACTGAGAGATTCTGTGTGGGCACAGCATGGCCCTTTCAGAGCCATCAAGTCATTTTAGGATACCCACACAAATAAATACAAGTGGCTGAGTCGTGCAAATGTACAGACCAGCAAGATAAGAGCTCTGGCCTTGCTGCCTTCCACATTCCTGGCTGAGGTGTGTGAAATGGAGGAGATGGCAGAGGATGTTTGGCCCCTCCTAAAACTGCTCCTAAGATCAATTCCCAAAGGCCCTTCCTTCCCTTTGAGAGGGGTCCTTGGCAGGGACAGCTGGGTTATGACATCAGCCAGACCCTCAGTGTACTTGCTGGCCACCCTGAGCCCTTGGGTCTTGCTGGGATTCATTTCCCCTTCTAGACTGTCACCTAGTGATTATACAAACTGAACCTTATGTAAAAAATTCATACAAAACAATGGTGGGAGTTGGTCATGGAGAGGGGAGCAGCAAGAGAAACCCAATCATCAGAGTGCCAGGCAAGGCCCAGGCAATAAAACCACCCAAGCAAAGCACTCTGGCATGTTGGTAGTTCAGCCTGAGAACTACATGCACTTTTAACTTATTACCTTTATGACATACGTTAATATGTAAAATAACAGTCAATTTTAGGCCTGTCTACAATGTCACTTGGGGTGGAAGACTAGAACTTGCCTAGTTTAGGCTACTTTGCCTACAGAACCTTTTACACCACACTTTTCCAGTAGGAAAGCAGGGAAGTGCTCAGACACTGCTTGCTCATTGGGTGTGTGAGCTCAGTGCAAATAGGCGCTCATCTTAACCCGGAGAATCAGCTGGGCAATCACACCCTGACCTTATTACAGATCTTTCCTTCAGTTCTTTGAAAGAAATAAGGCTTTAACAAGTTCTTTCAAGAAACCCTCTACTGCCTAACTTACCTTAAAGGCACAGGGAAGCGCACATGCACAGACACAGAGAGAAAAACATTACTTTTTCTAGAACTGTGAACTCAGCAACAGGTTAAATAATCATGCCAAAGCTCTATTAATATACCAGACACACAGATTGCTTCAACAGTTAAAAAAAAAAAAAAAAAAAAGAACACACAATGAAATGCTTTCAAACAACAGGGTTAGTCATGTAATTTTGGAACTGGAAAAAAAATCACCTGAGAGCAGAAAGGCTTCAGCCAGTGAGCGGGTGCAGCACCGGAATGTTGAATTGGACTAAAAGCAATGAGGGAGATTGGCAGAGAAGACAGCAGGGAAGAAAACACAGAACTTCACTTGGTTATGTAGGAAAGCATCAGGAAGATTACATCGGTACAAAGAATAACTGGCCAAAATGAAACTGCCTTTTTTCATTTAATTATCAATGAGGACAAGCAGGTATGAGTATTACTAGCAGAACAGTAAGATGATGAAGTCAAAAAATTGAGCAATTGGAGTAATACCAATAAAATAACCCTCCCAACAGAATAATCTGCAAAATCCAGTGGAATATGCATGGCAATTAAGATTCCTCAGGAAAACATTTTCATTACACAAGTTCCTGAACTCTGTTGTGGAAATGTAGGGATTTATGCCCCATTATACAAATCTATATAAAATCAATACCATATTTTAATTTTTTTAATCTTGTTTTTACACTTTCTACTAGTAAGATTCATTTGGTTTAAGTTCATTGGCCAGAAATTTCCAAGTTTCTTGGAAATCTTCTACATCTTCTACAAAGACTTTTGTACATCACCATTTTCCCTACATTTGCCATTATGCTCTCTCTGCCATGGTAAACAGCAGGAGAAAACTTTAGGAAGAAGTGTTCCTAAAGACTCTCCTATTGACAAACTGAAACCAAAATTGATGGCAGCCCAAATTAGGAAACTCGACTGCCCAGCAGTTTGCTGTGATGCAGGAGTAACTACACTGCCTCCTTTTTAGGGTGAAACAGTTTCTATTATTAGAAAATAATTAAAGATAGTACAGTGTTTCCAGGTCAGGTTTTTTAAATGCTGTAAGAAAGGTACAGATACATTACATATATACAGATGGCCACCATGTAACTGTAATTATTGCTGCGTCCACTCAATGTCATAGCAAAGTTTGGCTGAATACATGTTTGAGCATTAAAGGCAATTTTTGTCAAAGGAATGCCACCTTTTATCTAATAATTTTCTTCAAGCACTTTTTCAAGTTCTGTGCATAAAAATAACATTTTTTACCCCAAATTACATAACCACTCTAAAAATGTGAAAAGCTCATCCTCATAGTTTAAAGAAAGTCAAACTATCTAGAAGGAAGATCCAGTTTGTCATTTATTTTAAACAGCAGACACATTTCCTTTTCATACCTAAGAGGCAAAACAATTCAAATCATCTTTTCCCACATTATAGCAAATAAAACCAAAACAAAACAACAAACCCCAAGGCCTGCCAGCCCATAGGCAGCACTGTCATTTGGGACCACTGGCAGGTGATCCTCAGTTTTGGTACTAACTGAATGCAACAGTATTTCCTATTGTTTATGCCACATTCTTCTGGCTACAAATAAATGCTACAGATGCTTTTCATTTTAGGCTACACATATTAGATTTACCTATTTCCTGGTAAACTTCTGAATATAAAGAAGTACTTGAAAGGCAGGGAGCATGCTTACCTCGCTGGCTAACTAGGCTGAAAGTAATGAGCATTGGGATGTCTCTGTGTCCTTGCTGCTTAACAGATTAAGGCAGACCTTCTGATTAAGGTTGAGGGACATCTGAAAGAAATTTACTCATCTGCTGCTCCAGATAATAGAATTTCACCTTTCTGCCACTAGGTGCACATGTTGAAATGAATTACCCAAGTAAGAAGTTATCACCTAAGAATACATTTTTTGGCTTTTGATATTTGTTCTAAACCTTTTTTTAAAAAAAGGTTTTTAAAAATTTTTAAAAAATTCCAAAAGAGACTGGGAGCAGTGCCTGCACAGAGGCACAACAGGAGTGACTTCACTTACAGAGGAGTGCTCCATAAATTGATATGCCTCATATCAGCCACCAAATGAGGAAGCCTTGACTTGAGGAATGTTTAGTCTACTTCTTTCTACCAGCTTCTTTGACTTAAAATTTCAATCAAGTCTTCACTCAACTATCATTTGCTCTTCAAATTTATTGAAAAACTTCAAATAAATTAGTAGAACAGATAGTAGCCACTATCAACAAAAGGTATCCATCACATATAAAGCAATGTAAAAGGCATTTGACTTGGAGCAATGTGAATTATGTACACTATTTTTTTGAAACATATTAACGCAAGTAAAAATCTCATAGCCTAGAGCAAAGATGAAAGCAAGAAGAAAAAAAAGCTACGTGCTTTACTCAGGTTTCAAATCCCAGCCATTTGTCAGAAATATTCCTGAAAGAACACACATTTTTTCATGGTCTAACTGAAAAAAAGAAAAAAATAAGCTGGGGAGAATAGGAGGAAAAATGGTTTCAAAATGTACCATCTTCTCCAGCAGTCTAATCACAGAAAATAACAGGGATGAAAATAATCTAGAAAATATCCTTCATATGACTCCATGTTCTGGAAATGTGTTTGGACACTGTCCTTCATGCTCTAACATACAGTACATTTTGTGTTGAAAATTTCAATTGTACCTCGCTTCTATCAGCAGAAATCCACCATTCAATGAAGTCACGCGTCACATTGCACGAAGAGCAAAACCAAAGCCCTCCAAACCAAAAACTCCCCTCGAGAAAATAGCCAGGCTGTTAATTTTGAAAATTTGAAAGGCACAACTGAGCAAGACACGCGGAAAGATTCAAACCCTACAGAATCTTTTCACCCATTCAAGCATGTTTTCAAGTGATAGCTCTGCTTCCCGGTACATGTGAGTGAGTACCTCTAGGAGAGCGCAGAGGAGTGGCACCCCAAGGCTCAGGAGTTCGTACAGGTAGGTATAGTTATATGCATTGTCCCTGAAATGGAGGTGGGTAGCGTGCAGGACACCATGCATCCAGTTAGACAGGCGGCTGGGAATGTCAAGCAGATCCCTGGTCACCCGCAGGGGCCAGCTTAGCGTGCCCCCTAAGAAGGAAGTCAGGATACCTGGGGACCTGTCCTCTGGACTGCTAGCAGTGGACAAACTGCTTTCTGTGGTGATCTCTGTGGGTTTGGCTTCCGCTTTCTTCCACGCGTCTATCGCCTCCTTAGGAAAAGCGTTGAAAAATAAAAAGTGTTAAATATGTTTCTAAAGTATTTAAGTCCAGTTTCTGCTACTGTCTTCAAGTCTTTACATACATTTTCATTTCCAGTTGCTCCAAAGTTCAACTTTACTTTGCACAGAAAAGCTAAATTCCATTGAGAACCAGATTATTATTAGATATGCCAAGCTCACAGAAGGAGGAGGTTTGTATTTTAGCACTGATTTTCCTGCACATGAGGTAGAAAAAATCCACACACACACGTATTTCACCCTGCCCCAGATAAAGGTGCCTCAGCATTGCATTGACAATAAAATCTCTCCATACCTTTCCATGGATCTGTATTGTTGCCCTTCTCTTTCTATGTTTCGTACTCATTTTGCAGTGCGTAAAATGAGGTTTACAGTAAAATTTACCTACAAGAGGGAAAAATCATCAGTTACAGGATATGTTATCTATACATATATGGAGTGAAAAATCACTGTTGCATCTATTAAAAAAATGAAACCAGGATAATGAACAGTTGGGCGGCAAAAGGAAAGGGAAACCTGGCACTGATTCTGACTAACAGCTCTGAATAGGTTTCTTTTACAGATTTGCACATTAGTTCAGTAACACAAGGTCATTTATCTACCTCTCAAGCATAACATCAATAAACAGCAAAAAAACCAACATCCCATAAATACAAAGTTACAAACCAACACAAGACATCAAGCAGGAAAAAAAAAAAAGGTCAATAATCTGCTCAAAAGACATCTTTTCACCTACTCCACACTAAAAAAGAAAAAGAACCACTTTGACCTTGCATCTTTGGTATTTTTGCAGAGGGAGATCAGGTTAATACTCTGATCTACTCAAGTACTTTGGAAGGGACAAGGGAATTTAAATTCAGTTTGATAACTCCATTCCAAACTTTAAAAGAAAAAAAAAAGGAAAAAAGAAGGAAACCCCCAGGATTTAGGTGGGATGAAGCACCCAAGATCTGAAGCTCTTGTTCTACAGCAGCCTGGAGCCTGGAATAAATCACACTGTGCTTGGTCAGTCCTACTGCTTTCAACTCCTGACCATAACACTGTAACAGAAATAACCTACATTCCCTGCATCCATGTAAATCTGCCACTGTTATGGCTTGTCCTTATAGATCATGTTATTTAATGGCCAGCTTTAAACGGAGATAAGAATAACTTTATATTATTGGAGAAACCTCACCCCTTTTTTCCCCCCTTACTGTGATTTGACAAATTGCATTGTGGTTACTCAACTTATTTTCCACTGGGGCTTTCTTCATTTACAGCTCAGGTCTGTCATAACTCAACACTTCTGAAAAACTAGGCCTGCACGTACGAGGACTCAAAGATCAGCAGGGACACAAACAGCACACTTGGCAGACCTCCACCTGACCGTGAACCCGGGACAGACTTTTCTCCTTAGTTCCAGCGAGAGCACCAACCTCAGACATTTCAAAATACTCCTAAATAGCTCCTCCATTACCTTCTTCAACATCAAAGGCATAAATTCCTAAGCGGAGTGTTGTAGAACAGATTTCACACTTGAAGCACTCCCTGTGAAAGAAGTGGCCCTCTGCACTCAGCCTCTCCATGACATAGACCCGTTTCTTGCAGAAATAGCAGATGTCACTGCCCCCGATGGACTTGGGGAATTCTTTTCGCAGAGAACCCTGTTCAGAGATAAAAACAGAACATAAAGCTGTGGCTCCACACCCAGATATAAATCCTTATGAAGGGGGCAGCTGCTTTAGCTTCTTGAAGGGTTGTACAGCACCCTCCAAGCAAAAATACAGTACGCATCAGTCAGCTTTTTAATTACTCATTATTGAAATTCTGTAGGTTTATGCAAAAATTAATAAACCAGACATCACAAGGACTTTAAAGGGGTGACTGTGATGCTGGACTTGCATCCAGTTTCCCTCTGGGAGTCCACCAACATTTTGATTACTCAGGTCCAAGAGCAGCACCATCCCTGGGTGCTCCCTCATCACCCTGCACCATCCTGGCTCTAGGGCTCGTGTCTCTCTCAGAAGGTGAAGACACCTCACCAGCCTCAAACAGCAGACTTGCATCTGCAGCCAAGCAAAAGAACACCCTGAACTCAGTTCAGACACAATCTGGAGGAAAATGCAGGCTTGTGCTTTAAGTTCCAGGAGGAAAAGCAGTCTTCAAACACTCCATCCTTCCCATGGCCACAGTCATGCCTTCCCTCTCAGCCGTGCTCCTCCTGAGACCACAGCCCAACCTGGGGCTTGGTTAGCTTTAAAAATCACTTGGTTTCCTACCACACACATTCAGAACACTTTTAATGCATTCAAAATACAATCCATATTAACCACATGAAACTATTTTGAAAGTTTGCTGCAATTAGGCTGGTAATGAACATTCTTTAATTGCCACAAATTTCATCTCCTCTTACATACACATGCAAAAGGTACAGAAAAGTGAACTAGAAATTGATTAGATGGCACTGGACTTCCCTTTTCTTATTAGAGCAGGTATGAGGGTGTTACTTTGCATTACTGTATTATAGTTGGTACAGGTGAGCTTGCTGTGCCTGCCACATCCATCACCACCTCCCTCCCCTTCCAATATCCCTGCTGCCACAGGAGAGCTACCACATGTGGCATGGAGGAGGAAAGGTCCAAGGCACATTCAGACAGTAGCACACAGTCCACACAACTCATCTTCCATCTGTGAGCAAAAGGCAGCCTTGGAACAACTTTTTAATGTTACGTAGAACTCACAAATGTCATTGTCACATAGTCTTGTGCTTAAAAGTTGAGAATTCTATTCCAGATCTGCCATTAGTAATCCATTTTGCTCTGATGGATCATTTTAGAGCATGAATCTTTCCAAACAAACAACCATGCAAATGGAAAACCACACAGATGTGCTTTTAAAACCATGGTGTTAATAGATCAGATAGTTACAGTGAAGCTGAAACAACTGAGTTTAGTGCTGGCTGGTAAGTAAAGTGTCATCAGCACAACACAACACCTTACTTGGCTTCCCAGTACCTGACAGCCCTGAGTGGTGGAGGCAGCAGATGGAAAATGAGGAATGGGGCAAGAACCCGCAGCTCTGTCCAGAGACCGCTTCTGAATTCAAATTCAACACAGAAGAGTGTCAGAGTTGAGAAACAGCCCTCTTCAAAAGGAGGCACAGTGATTCAGCACTCGAGTGTTAAAAATAACTGCATAAGCATGTACTGCACAAAACTTTCTTTAGAACCCACCCTGAGTAATAATTGTCTTCTGTTACTAATTCTGCAGTAATTACATTTAATAAAAGCCTCCTGAAGTTTTAATTCAGTAACAGAAACAGAAATAGAAGACGAGGAGAGCAACATTTCCATCAGCACATTGTGCCGACGTGCACTTGATTCTTTCATTAAGTGTTAGACCTTTCATAAGGCTTCAAGTGCTCCACATCTGGGGCCTTAAGTCAGGATGGCATTCTGGGAACATCACTCTTAAGTCAAGTTACTGTTTCTTTGTGGGTTTAGTCTTACCAGTTCAAGCTGTGGCTTGGGTCTGTGATCATTCACATACAGATTTACAAGAACTTCAGCCACAGCTCCAATTGCACGTGAGACCTTTCCTACAGTCATCTAATCAGGAAAGGGAGGAAGATGAAGAACAGAAGGAAGAGCTTTAGTTACCCTTGAAAGAGAATTTAAAGACAAAAAAGGACAAGAATGATTTGGGCACATGCAAACATCGATACAGGGAGGCAGGAGGAAGAGCAGAGGGGAAGCCCAGCAGAGCACAAGCATGTCCATGCGTGACCAGCGTGGGGCCACAGAAGGCTTCTGTGCAGCCCACAGACTTTTCCCTGAGGATGATCCTGATGGGAACAAATGCTTCTCCTCAAGGCTTCCTGCTGTGTCCATGAAAGGCTGAGCTGGGAGCCACTGCATGGCTATCTGAGCTGGACGTTCTGACATTAAAAAAACCCCTATTGTTCACTTCAACTTCTCTGGGACTTGGTTCTAACATTTCAGAACAGGGGGTGGGATTGAACTCCATATTAACACTCCCCAAACTGTGACATTTCGGGGAACTTTCTATGAAAATGTATGAGCCAAGTCCCACACAGAAATGTTTTGTTGGTGCTCACAGAGCAACCATTTGCTCTCCCCAGTGACTCATGGTAATGCCAGGGAGAACTGGAGAAACCACGCTCGTGAGAGGGAAACTTCTCCTTTAATCTGCTTCATCACACTGCAGCAGCCATGAAAATGAAACGTTCCTTTTGCCTCTCACAGAGCCCAGATCTCAAGGAAATCACCCTCTTCTCAGTGAAATAATTTGTCTACTGCCACCACACCAAGTCCTGCTAATTGAAGGTTTTAAAATACCAGAGAGTTACCATGAAGAAAGGAAAAAATATAAATGCAACGGTATTTGGAATACTTTAAAACAATTTTAAAGCACTTTTGATCAAGTTTAAAAACACTCGTAATGCACTGTGGGTGTGTTTTCAAAAATTATTATGGATAAAAAAATTCAAGGGAGTATGTCCAACCCTTTACAGCTCGCCTTATCTTTTGAGAGTTATGTCATAATTAACTTGATATCCAGGCAGGTACAAAATACACACATTTAGACTACAAAGGCCATTGAAGGAAGAAATTTCTTTCCTGTTTGGTTTCAGTTAGTATAAAAAGACTTTAAAATATTATTCAGTATCTGGACAAACTTGTGGGTAATAACTGCAAAGTGAACTGCTAATTACATACCATAACACTGTCCCAAGTGGCACATCAATTTATAAACCCCTACAAGAAGTGGTACTTGCTACTACAGGAAAACTATGTTCCTTTGATTTCTTTTAAGAACATGGAACAAAAAAAAAAAATCCTCCCCAAATTCTGCACCTCTGAATATCCAGAGCCATTTCCAGGCCATGTTGTACATGTACAAGTAATGTACATGTAAACATACAAGTTCTTCTCCACAAGATCCAAGGTAAAAGAAAGTGTTCAAAGTCAGTTGAAGCAGAAAGTTTTCCTTGAACTAGATAAATACTGGAGCAATCAGTTAAATAACAAGGCTGTGCTTAAATTGCAAGTAGTTGAATTTCAGGAAAAGTATCCTTGAGTCTGAACTACACCCTGAAATTCTTCAGGTTGGCTGATTTCTGTTCTCCACCCATTGGAACAACCTATGTCAACATTAAAGCAGTCAAAACAAAAAAAATGCATGTTTATACACACTTTAAAAATGCTATTAAAAGGAAATGTTCCTATAACAAATGCGAATTCACATTCCAAGTAAAAGCAAGTGAGATCTCACTTTAATTTAGCAACAATGCCCTTAAAACCATGCTTTAACTTTTGGTCAGCCCTGACTTGGTCAGGGCACGAGATGTTTGCTGTACATCCCTTCCAACAGAACTACTCTGTTCTGCTCCAGTGCCACTCAGTCACCAAACAGAAGCATCAGGGCAGGATGAGGATCCACCAGGGCAGCCCCAAGAGCACCTCCCACCCTCAGAGACACCAGAGAATGTCCCCAGTGCCCCTGAGGCTGCTGCTCTACTGAAGGCACACACAGCTTTGTAATGTTTGTAATGTTCCATGCCCTGTCTGCATGGAACAGGCTCCTGCTCACAGCTCAGACAGCTTTAAAGCCCTGGCTGAAGAGGAATCCTAAGGAGTTACCTCACATGGTGAATTTCCGGCAACAAGCAGAAAACACTTAAAAATCCCAAGAGTTTGTGATTTCCTCAGACCGTTGAGCTGTCATTGGCACACTGCTTTTCAGCAGGTTGACCAGGGTGGTTATTGCCATGGGAAGAGAAAGCTGCCTTCTGTATTTCCCTGTGTTATTATTCAGAACTGCACAGCCAGCCAAGTAAGCCTCAGTAGCATTCTCATAAAACAAAGGAGCTATGCTCTCTGCCTCCAACAGCATACAATGCTTTCCCTTTGTTCTTTCATATCCTTAATGATTTTCCTGGTCTTATTTTGCTTTGAGGGTGATTTATTTACTTTGTGTACAAGCTGCTACGTGTATTTTCCTTCTGAGATAAACAACATTTGAGTAATAAGTTACTGTGTGTGTAGGAAACACCCCAGCCCTGCTTGCTGCTGGCAATTAGAGTCACATCACTGAAGGGAAGTTGTTGGTCCAAGCTCTGCAGGGAGCAAATTGATTGCAAAAACTTCCCAGTTCTTACGACACACGGTGTGGACATACTCATACAAAGCTCAGATGAACAGAGTTTTCTGAAGGTCAATCCAACCTTGAGCAGAAAACAGGAATAACCAAAGCCCAGCCTGTAATGTAATGCTAACTCATTATTCTAGCTATGTGAATTTTGACAGCTGATTGAAGCTAGAAGGTACTTTTGATTATTATTGACATATTGCACACAGAAGGTAATTCTTACTAAGTTGTAATGACTGCATGTCTTGAAAGAAACAATACAGTCCCACAGTCTTCTTTTCAAGAGCTCCTTGCAAGACTTAGACTTAATAACAAGTCTCTGTAATTAGAGGGTATGATTTCATAGCCACCCTTTTCAATAACTGTGTCCCCATAACTAACACTGTTCCAAGCAAAACTGAACAGGTGCAATGGTTTGTCATGTCTGGTAACAACCTCAGAACTCACCTGAAATTTAAATGACAGCACTAGCTATTTAAAACCATGGGAGGGTGCTGATATTTATAGGTCATACATCATGAAGCCTTACAGAACTCTAAACACTTCTATTACCTTCTTTCTGTCTGCCGGGGAAAAAACAAACACTGACAGCAACACACAGCCGATCTTCCTGTTGGTTTATCAATCCCAAAACACTTTCTGATACTGAAGTCTACACTCAGCTAATGACACTTCTCAAAACAGAGAGCAGAAATTCACATTTTGAGACCCATCATCCCCCTCCTCAAGATAATGGAGAAATAGGCAGTTCCTGGCATATTCACAGCAGAGGTCCAAACATATTGTTGAACAGCACTTGAAAATGCACACTGTGCATCTGAAATACTGTTGAATTTTTATTTATATAGCACTGCATATTTAGCCAGTGTTTTATAGAGCAGGATAAAATTTTCACATTCTGAAAAGTGTGCAATCTGTAAGGATAAAACACAGGGACAACTATTTGACCGTGAAAGGGCAGGGACAGATTCTATTACCACCTGTGCCCCTGAAAGGAGGAGCAAAGATCACCTGGTCATTACTAGACCTGCTGTTTAAAAATTCTCCAAAATGCCACACAAAATGCAGCACATTTACACCCATGAAATGCATAGTGTACAAGAGGCTGGCAGCCTGTACAACACATGAAGCTGGGTATGCAGGCATCAAAATGCTCATGCATGTAGATCTGCCAAAGTGTAAATGTAGTCCTACTTAACCAGCCAAATATTTACCCAGTGAGATGAACGTGTATTTACTGTGCTGGTGACAGAACTCGATTTTCTTGCTTCAGCTGAGCTGCATTCTACCAGTATCTCTAGGGAGAGCAATTTCCAGCTGAAGTAAGCCCAGCCTGAGTGAAACCAAGTTAACAACAAGCTAGTGCCACACCATTTAAATACAAAGGCAAACTAATCGAGGCAGGCAGTGCACTTTAAACAAAATCCAGTTTTTAAAATATCCAGAAAAAAAGACTGGTCAGGACAAAGGTTCTCCAAGAAGTGATGTTAAAATCCTAATGAAATTATTTCTCACAGAGTTCCCATATGATTAAAAGCCTAGTTCTCATATTCTAAAGGGTTTTTCAGATAGCTGGAGTTTGGGTTTTGGGGTTTTTTTTTACTCTCCTTGCAGAGTCACAATAGTCCTCCAAATCAAATGAACATCAGCTCCCAATCTTTTGGAAACCATGACTTAGCTTAAAACCCATCACATGCTACACCTCTTAGCTCATAAAAAGTAAGAGGTAAATCCAGGCCAAGGAATTACTTTGAAGCTGAATGAAGGGAATTAGGGGATTACTGCAGCAAGGCACCTGCTGAGCTTGCAGTGTCCTTGAAGGGCCATGTCCCCTGGATTTCCCTGGGGACTGGCAGCCAGGCAGTCACTGCAACGCAGCCCATGAGCATCAGCCTCTGTAGGAAGAACTGAGTATCTCTGACCCAAGTGTCACCTCCTTCTTTCTAAGTATGGATATTTCCAGAAGTTCTGCTGCTACAAAGAAGTGTATTCTACCTATTCACGTGCAGAAGCAAGTTTAAAATACTAATAATTAAGCAAACAACAATTAAATGTCTGTATTGGTAAATGCTCGTACAATTCTAAGACATGTCCAGTCTAAGATGGGGTTAAAATAACCATCATTGTGCAGGTTTTTCCCTGCAGAGCAGATGGATATTCTTATGAAAAGAAACATAAATGCCACCCAAGAAAACTAACCAACCCTACAGCACACAGTTTGCTTTATAATGTGCAGCTTTCCTCAGCATGCCTGTGGTATCATCCTACAGCAGATCATTTAAAATAAGCAGCAACACAAAATTTTCAGAATTGAAGTAAAAAAATGTTAACCATTTGCTTTGATCTTCAGCTTTTACCTAAGCCATATCTGATGACAACATTTCTCTTACAAACATGCAGAACTAACAACAGCAAAAAAAGGAAAGCTTGATTTAAATGTGAATTACAACCCATACAACAGGTTTGCTGGCAGCTCCTTCCATCCAAGCCATTTCTCAAGCAGCTTGAGTACAAGTTTGGGTTTTACATGAAAAATCTCTTAATAGAGTACCTGTTGAGAAGAAACAGCAGAGGAAGCTGAACCAACAGATGATGAAGCAGCAACAGCTGAATGATGAGGTGGAGGGCAAGAGGGAGTTGGGGGCTGAGAATGGGGTAAGCCTTTAGTAGGTAGCTTATTCTGTGTAGAGCAGAAACAGGAGAGTTATCCAAGAGACAGTGACATCAACAGAGGTTAAGTTCACAGTCATGCATCAAAAAAACCAGAAACATAACAATGACAGATCTACTCTTCTTGCTACCTCTGCACAGTAAGGGCCCATGGAAATCATCATGGCATCTTCATGGTAAATGGTATTATTGTACTATTTCTTTAACAGAAATATTCACAGTGGGCACTAAGGTAAGATAGTACTGGGAGAGAGCATAATGAAATCCAGCAAAAACCAGAGTGCACCAAGTACCACTGCTCAGCAACTGATCAGAAACTGTGAGCCAGCAGTGTGTGCTTAAGCACAAGACATAGCTTATTTGAACACATTTCTCTCCTGCTAAAGCACTCTGATTAGCTTTAGGATTCAGATTGTTTCACCTCAATTGAACTATACAGTAATACTTAAACAACACTTTTTACTGGTTTCAGTGGAACCCACATTACTTTTCAGATCCACACAGAATGAAAGGAAGTTAAAACCAAAACTACTTCAATTTCTTTCCCTTCATGAATTCTTATATATCTTCCAAATAAGCAGTTCTTCAGGTGCAAAACTTAAAATTCACCTTTGGAAACTCCATGTATCCAAACATTGAGGCGAGATGTGCTGCTTTCTCTTTAATGTTCTTTTTATGGAATTCCCTATTTGCTATGGTCTGAGCTCTTTTCTGCAGTGACAGCCAGGGAAGGACAGCCAAGAAAAGAAAGAGAGAGATTTCAGTTAAAACCACATCCATCAACAAAACACAGAAGTTTGTAGAAAGACTTCTTATTGTCTTAATACAACCAACAGTCAACAGAGAACGAGCCAGCAAAACCACAGTACACAGATTATCACAGAGACAGAAAGGAAAAGAAGTTGCTTGTCACCTGTTTCATTTTTTCCTCCAGGTGCTGAAGACGCTCAAGCACTCCAGAAAGTACAAATGCAGCAGAACAGGCAGAGGCGAGATTTTCAGAGGTTTCTGACAGACTGGGCTGGGGATCTGTTTTGTGCACAGTCTTTGCTCTCCTGGCCATATGATCAGAACCATTTAAAGACTGTTTGGGTTCCCTGACCTCGTGTTCACTCCTAGCTACCACCTGAAACTGGGAAACACTTGAAGTGAACAAAACTCTGCTTTCTGCACTACCACGCAGGATATGCAGCTTTTAAGGATGCTTCCGAAAGAACGGCACAGTCATGCACATAACTAGAAATAAAATATTCTCACATCACTCTTTGCACACTGTCTACTGCACTTGTGATGCTTGTGCACATGCACTGAAATAAATCAGTCCTGCACAACTTGTGCAGGCTTTGACATCCTTCTGTACATTTGTGAGTTTTTGTGAGTAACCTCTGAGAGCAGCAGTGCAGAAGAACATCTTCCTCTAGGGTTTATAGCAAAGGTTTTGGGTTGGGGTTTTTTAGCAGCACATCTGCCTAAAACTAAGCTTGCAATTATATGTATGAGGATTTCAACAGTCATTCTTGTCATAGTTCTAGATCTAGTCTGACCTAAATCAGCATATAATGTATTTCAGATTTAAGGCATTTTTTGGAGGAGTTCAGAATGCATCTCTGAATTTGAGTTGTCATATAAAATATGTTCTGATCTGCTGATTTCCATATGCAACACAGATCTCATTTCACTGCAGACTGCTCTTGAAGTGCCATTACAGGATGTTTACTTCAATTTAAAACTCTGATGAAAAGTGAGTATCAATACTGTTTGAGATGAGATTGCTTTCAGTCAAAGCACTAAGAGAAAAATTTAGACTACATTTTTCCCCACATATGTGATGCTGCAAAAGAGCTTTCAGCAGAAATTCTTATCACAAGTTCTACTTATAGAAATAAAATACCTGGGCACCAATATCAACTTCTCCATGCTCAAGCCTTTATCTTAGATATTTTTGCCAGGTTTCTCTCTTAGCCTTATCATTACAATAACCCAAAGCATTGGGTATATGCACAAATTTTCAGGTACTGCTGTAGTTTTCTCATATGTTAAAAGCAGCTGTGTAATTACATTCGTACAATACAGAGTCTAGATACGGTAACACAGAAATCAACACTTATGTTTTCAGGGTATTTCCACACTTTCAGAGAGTTTTCTCATCTGGCAAAGCAGGTGTAAAATAGCCTTTAATTTCTACTGGCGTTTTTACAATTCTCAGCTAAACGCATCTGTGAACTCTGCAGTTTCCATCCAAATATTGCTTTGTATCTTATGTAGCTCTGCAATAGCAGTGAGAGAAATGCTGTGCTTGCCAGGTGTTTGTTACCCATAGGAGCTTCCTACCTGCCTTTTTGGTTGAGGTGGAAGAAGGCTTGGATCCATAGGTTTAGCAAAGCGAGGATTAACAGGAGGGTCAGAGGAGAGCAGGGCTGGTCTATCTGTTAGCTCCTTGTAAAGCATTTTTAAAATTGCAAAGACAGAATGAAGGAGAAGAAAAAAAAAAGGAAGACAGTAAATAGGATTCAAAGAATTTCTGAGGCAGAAAGAAAGAAAAGCTTATTTTAAAGATGCATTACTATGAAGCTTAACAACACGTTTTGCATATTTTTGCCACCTACCCGTTTTATTAGCAACTTCTACCATCAAAGATATACTTTGAGATGAACACATTCAGTACTTTTTAACAGAGTTTATGATCAAAATAACTCCCTTCAGCATGGCCAAGGAAATCTCTGGCCACTTATCACACACTGAAAGCTCAGGGCATTGACAAGTAGCCAGGCAGTGTGCAAACAACTTTGGTTCAAGGATAGACAAAGTCACTGGACATCTATAAAGCCTACACTACTGGAGGACCTCAATATTTCAATAAACAAACCGATACAAGGATGAAGAATTAACAAAGTCACCATCTTTGTCAAAACATCCACACTTTGCTCATCCTTCCTTCAGGTCTTTCAGATGACAGATCTAAACTCTGCTAATTCCAACTATTTCTGGCTGAAGTGTGATTTTGAGCTTCTCCCCTCTACCTTGGCAGCATGGGATTGTTTTTAAAATACCTCTAGTCACACTAACAACAAACCATGAAAACGCTGTACAATGCACAAATGTATTCCACTCAGCCTAGTTTTGGAATGGAAATGGCAGCCAGACATATCTTGCAAGAGATTAGGTTTCCTTTTAACACTTCCTATGTTTTCCATAAAGACAGACTCCACAGGATATGCAGTGTCCTTTATTTGAAAAACACAGGCCCCAACAGGCCTTCTGCAATACTGTATGCAGCCACCTTAGACTTCCAAATAACACAAATTCCACAGGCTGGCTTCCATGAGATTCCTAGACACTACAACACAGCAATATGTTATTGTTAGATGCATTAGTCAATCTATATGACTTGTATTGAGATAAATACTTTTAATTTGCATAAAGTATTAAAAAAGACAACCCACTCCAAACACCTAAGAGACTCCTGTCTTCCTGGGAAATCTGCATTACCTTCACAAGGAGGGACTACAGCTCAATTTCAGAGATGCTTTCATGTTCATCTCTGACCTACCTGTCTCCTCAGAACTGTATTTGAAGCATTCTCTTCAAACTTTGCCAGCAGCTGAGTAGCCATAGATTTGACTTTGTTCTGGTTCACTCCTTCTCTGCATTCACTCTGTTCTTTCCCACTGTTTGTCCCCTGGCTTGGAACGCCTGAAGTCTGCAAGGAAACAACAAACTGTGTTTTACTTATGCTTCCTACAACACTCATGAAGGGAGAGGAGGAAAGAGGTAACATCCTTTTCAGCAAAGGGTGAAAGGAAATACAGTCTGCAGTATACTAAAAGACATGTTTAGCATGCAAAAGTCACCCAAAAAATATTTTCTTGGGTGCCAGAGTACAGTAAAAGGGAACATTAATCAGTGCTGCTAATCATAAAGCAGAGTCACAAAGGTGACTAATCAGAGAAGGGCTAGAAACCAAGCTGCAATGTAAACTCTTCAAATAAAAAATTGTCTAAATGGACAATTAGGAAAAGGAAAAACAAACCAAAACCTTAAATGTTCCTGTGTCAGAACAAAAAACTAGTGCAATTTAGTTAATGCTCTACTCCCTCTCAAATGATTAAAATTAATTTAGCTCTTCTTTAATGCAAACCACAGTAAATTCAACATTTCAAGGGAGAGGATTTTTCTGTGCCATGCTCCAAAGGCCAAACCTTGCCCCACCATTTCCCACTGCTTTCCCAGCTCTGGTGCCCATGTGGACAGGGGTGGGCACCACTGAACACCAACCTGCTCAAAGACACCAAAGAGGCCTTTCCGACGCCTCTTGTTCGTCTCATTCTCTTCTGTTTTCCCTTCAGCCTGAAAGGGCAAAGCCAAAACAAGTTCCATGCGTTACTGCAGCAATTCCCAAGTTTACCCCAGCAGCTCCTCCCAGGAAAAGTTCCATCCCCAGGCAGGTAAGGGGCGGGCTGTGCTCAGCCAGGCACACACGGTGAGCAGTGCCAGCACCACGGGTCTCAGTGCCCCCCTGTCAGACCCCCCAGCTCACAGCACTGCTCCCCATGCAGGCATCAGGGCAGCAAAGCCATCACACAGCCCCTGGCTGGGAGCTCTCACTGCACTCCAGTGCATGAGAGCACGTGCTTGTACACTGTGCTCAACAGGCCCCACAACTTGGTGTTTGTCTTTCCCTCTTTCAGTGCTGAGGAGTTTAGAATTCATAAAGTATTAACACATCCTTGAAAAAAAAGGTTTTACAGCATGAGTTATTCTCTGAATTTTCAGCTAGACTGCACTGTTTTCCAGAAAAGTAACAAAATCCAGAAATCCCTCAGTCTTTCACTGTAACCCCCAAATCTCTCTTCAACCATCTGTCTGCATGCAGATCATGAATTCATAGCACAGTCATACTTTCATTTTTGGCTGCATTAAAGGTCTGTCTCCCTCATAAGGTTCACCTCCCTGAGTATGGCTGAACATTACAACACTTAAGCAAACAAATTGCTTATTTTATGCTTGAGCCATGAACATATTTCACTATTTTACTCAACTAGAGATTACACAAATCAGTAATACTTCATACTCAGTCTGCACAAACTTGAAAAGTAGTCAATGCTGGCAAATTTTTATCACTTCTTATAACATTCAGTCGTGATGATTTGATACGGTGATAATTTATGAACAATAAACTATATTCCACTTATTGGCATTTGCCCACGTTGTAACTTAGTGTCTGCTCAGCCAACTTAAAAAACAAATAAAAGGAGTAAAAGGAATTCCTTAAAAAGAAATAAAGAAAGATCAAAGAATTCAGGCTTCCTTTTTACATATAGACTGTTTGTAATAAATCATTATGCAATGAAGACGAGTAATCCCAAACAACCTGTGGGCAAACACCAAAGGATTCAGATGACAATATTTCAATTACTTTGCTTTACTACGTTGTCTTTCAAGCAGCAGCTCAGTAAAACCCAGCTTTGCACTACCTACAGTCATCAGTCCACCCAGAAAGGGTGAACACAGAGCAGCACAATGTATTCTGCATAATAGCCTGGGCCACATAAAAGCAGATTTTGCTTGAGTGAGTGGAGCAAAGCAAGATGCTGCCTTTCAGAGATGGGGCAGAAAGGACTCTCATTAACACGCTGACAAAGAAGTGAAAGACAAAGCAATTTAATTGCTGAGCAGGACTCCAAAAGGGCAGCGCCCTGCATTGTGTAAACACCTCCATTCATTTATTAGTCTAGAGCACAGGAAATCTCAGTTCCTCTCCAGCCGGGCTGACACTCCAAGGAGAATGGAAAACATGATCCAGCCCAGCACAGGCTGCCAGAACAGCCACAGCCAGCCCAGCTCCAGCCCCGCTTCCTGGTCTCTCACAGCCCAGATAAGGATCCCTCCTCCAGCCCAATCCAAGGACAAGCTGCATGCCATGGAAGTTCAGAGAGCAACACTCTCTGCTCTGCTAAAGCCTGGACAGAACATTTGATATACATACACCTTGATAATGCTCAGCACCACTTTCTGCAGGGGAAAGAACCCTAAAACTGAAGCCACAGCCAGACCCTGAACTCCAGCAATTGCTTTCCAAGGAGTTTAATTTCCCAACTAGTTTCAGCTGGTTATGGCACTCCCAAGTCTGTCCTAATCCAAGAACCCTAACCCACCTTGCTTGGTTTCACAGCCCATCCGTGACAGAGCTGCAAAACCTCGCACACACTGCCTTGTTTCCCAAGCTGATTTGGGAAGCAACACTTCCACTTCTCATTTCCAAGGGGCTCCCCTGGTGTGAAACCAGAGGGGCCCTTCAAGCAAATCACCTCGTGCTTTCATGTACTGCCAAGAACTGCAGCTCCTGCTATGACAGAAGGCTTATTTCATGACAAGAGGTTAATCAGAGGCTCTATGGCTCAGTAATGGAATGCTCTCCCCACTGCTAAAAGTCTGTTTACTTCTGCAAACAACTCATTGAAAAACAACACTGTGGTCATGATGAAGGTTTTCCTTCTAAAGAAGTCACCCACAAGGAAAAGCAAAGTTTATTCTGCCTGTTTGGTTTCTCACAGCTTGGCTATATGGGAACCATGTCACTTAGTTTTGTATATATGTGGGTGGCAGGAAAAAAATATTTCCTAACAAGGATATTTTAAGTTACTGGACAATTGTCTGTCCATAGGTTTTTAAAAAGAGTTTGCAGGATGGAAAATATTCAAGACAAAAGTCAGTGTAGGAAGTATCTGGAAATTCTGGAGTAATTCTTCAGGTGAAAAAAAATAGAAATCACATTTCTACAAGACAGAGCAACAAATTTAAAAAGCAGTATATTAAAATACTGAGAAATGCAGTAGATGTGTACATGTGTTAACTCAGGCCCCTGCAAAGCTTCAAGGCTCTGTAGTCCTTAATCACAGCATGTATGGGCATGGATTATTTTATAATACAGGGATATAACAGGGCCTGTCAGTAAGTTTTCATTAATAAGTAACCAAGAGAGAAAAGTACACGGGCATGACTAAGAGATTGTTATCCCAAAGTTGCTGATCAACCTGCCCACTGTTTGTCACTACTGCAGTTTTCCTCTGTAGGAGCTGGAAAGCTTCTCTTCAGAACCCTGACAGCATCCACAAACTGTGCAAATCACTGCTTTTTTCAACAAGCAGCACTCCCTCCCAATCAATAAACAGTCTAGCATAGCACTGATTATTTGAACTGGTATATAATTAAATGGCTGTATATTTAACTCCAGGAATACAGAGCTACAGGACTCTTTTTCTTACAGGTAGAAATAGCTCAGAAAATTATAGCAGTGTATATATAAACCCCTTATTTCTGAGCCTGAAAGCTTATTTTCATCTTTTCAGAAAAAAATATTCACAATTCAACTTGCTTCACAACTCACCTTTGGTACTCGTTTTCTTGGTAAAGTTAAATTGATATAATTATTAAAGATGAAATTTGATGATTTTAGTGAACCAGGATCATTATTTTCTCCATTTTGCTTCTCAGCAGCATCTGTGGAAAAAAACAACTGCTTAGGATATTTACTTAGATTTGTTTTTAAATTATTCTAAGCCAAAGCTTTCCAGTTGAGTGCTGGTAGCAATTATATACAAGAAACACAGACAAGTAAAAGTAAATACATACAATGTAGGGTGGCTTTTTAAAAAAAGGAGGAGAGAAACACAAGCATCAATGTGCTACCAGGGAATCACACCAACAACTTGAGAGATGCCCTCCATGATGTCAAGCAGCAGTTATCCAGCTGCTCCTACTCCTGAAATCACCAAGGACCCACAAAACCTTGGTCTCCAATCAAATTCTCCCCCATTTCCTGTGTTAAGCCCCAGGTAACTCTTGCAGGCCAGAAGGGCTCTGCTGGTGATTTGTGGGAGCAAACAAACTCCACAGCTTTTGTGGAAGTTGTAAAGCCGGTATGTTTATTACAGTGCTGGATGTGGGGATCATTCCCCTAACATGACATGCGTGCCTCTGGGAACCCCAGATCCTTTTTTATCTCCCTCTCACACACATATGCATGCAATGTCACAATAAGTTCATTTTACTGATTTCATGTGACATTTGCCACTAATTCTTCTTTATCAGAAAGAACTCCTGGCTCATTTTGACCCTGCTCTCTCTGTCTGCCCGCTCCTTATCTCTGTCCTTCAGCTGAAGCTGTTTCTCTGAGCATAGGTTTTTGCGAGAACAGGCAGTCAGACTAAACAGCCATGTTTGCAAACTACAGATTCAAAGATGTACATTTCGCCTAATTCAAAACAGTTTGATTTCAGCGAAATAGGATTGCTATTCTGGAAAATTCCAGCTGTGCCTCAGTGAGAAAAGCCTGCTGGCTGGAGAGCAGTGCCCATCGGGCGCTCACCGACTGCGCGCAGCGGCGTGCCGCGGAACAGCTCGTAGAACTTGGACAGGTAGAGCACCATGCTGAGCTTGTCGGGCTCCCCGGCCGAGCCCAGCTCCTGGCCCGTGGTCACCGGCGGGATGCCGAACTCCCGCTCAGCCACGTCGAAGGCCAGCTGGTTGTTCCTCACCGCGTCCTCTTCGTTCAGCGCCTCGAAGTCACTGCAGGGACAGACAGACAGACAGATAGACAGTGGCATCGCTCGGTCCTGCTCCCCTCGGGGACGCAGCGTGCTCCCGCGGCACAGCAGCACCAGCATCTCACCGGGTCAAAGCTACAAGAGCCTCCCACAAATCCCCTATTGCAAATACTGACTCTGCCAGAAATGGAATTTAAAACCTTTTTCACTGAACTGGACCTTGATGTGGTCCCGCAAAAAAAAAAAATCTTTATTTATTGGAGAGATGCAATTCTTCCTCAGAAGTGCTAACAAACCTTTCCCTTCTCCAAATACAGCTGAACTACTACAGACTTCATCCAATAGCAAGAGATTACTTAAGTTCAAATAGTTTCGTAAATCATCAAAGCCAGCAGGAAGAAATTTAGGACAGCATTCTATGGAAGTAGTGTATTATGTGTGTGCACACACATGCACAGACGCTACCTTTCCTTTTTTAATGTGTTACGCACACGGTTTGAGCAGGGACCTCCTGCCCAGGTCATAACTGAATTTAGCAGTGCACTAAATAAGTGCATCACACATCTGGAACTCTGTTATTCACTCTCTAATCCATTTTCTATGAGACCTATTCTAAGACTCTGATCTTTTGAACAGCTTCCAAAATTCATGATTAAAATAAACATGTAAATAAATTACAAAGCTCCAGGCAGGGTAGTTTCTTTCTCCTCACAGTGGAATGTGAGTTTTTGAATTCCCAAAGAATTTCTCCTTTTCTCTCACCCACCCACTGCCCATTTCTGGAGCTGGGAGCTGTCACTGGCAGCCACCTCTCCTGCCTGCCTAGCTTTCATCCAGCCAAGCCCTTCTGCAGGCTCAGTGAATGCAAGAAGCCAACAAGATCCAAACACAACATTAATTGAACAGCAGGACGTCTGTTAGCTCAAGATAAATTTATCGACCTTGTAGAGAGCACTGTAGAGAACATGTTTTCCACAGTCAGCAAAGATTACTCTGCTTTCTGTATCCTCTCTCCCAAAAACATCCAGAATTCTAATTCTTTTAAACCAACCCAAGGCCAAAAAAAAATTCCTGTTCTTAAAATCTCAGCTCTTCCTCTGGCAAAACTGTACAAACAAGCACTCTAGGTACCACTCCTATTCTTTTCCAATTTATCACACCTCATTAAAAAGTTCAGTTATTCCTTTCATTTATCCACAATAAAAGGAGGTTAACAGTAATTTATGTGTGACTCCTAAGGCTCTGCAGGAAGACAAGAGAATGCATCCACTGCATTTTGGAGACTGGTGAGAAGAGAGAGTCACCCCACTGACTGCACCCAGCGGTGCCAGCAATTGCTATTTCCTGACACCTGTTACACACTGACCTTCTTGTATCTAACTATGGGACATTACAAAATACTCAGATGCATGGAGTTGGGGCATGCAGCACTAGGACCCCAGAAACTGCCAGAAGGGGAATGCTGGCTTACACTCAAGCCCTAGGGCAGTGAATTTTCAAGGCCCAGCCCTTGCTTTGCCCATATGAAAGGACTCTGTGCTCTCCTGGACAGAGTTGTGCAAAATCTCCATCTCCACAGTCCAACATTTCCCTCTTTGACTGTCACAGCAACCAGTACAACACATGGAGGATGGCTCATTCAGGTTCACCCAGCATTTCTGCAGCAGAGGATTGTGCTTCATGGCTGTAGTTTCAAACAGACACCAAAACCTGTCTCCAGGGATCTGGGAACACAGCTCTACCCATTCCCCCAAAAACTGCAAATTTTGTTTTAAACAGACACATGACTCCCACAAACACAATAAATCATAGGGTTCAAAACCCTCCTAGCTCTTTGAAAGCACATCTGTTTCATTCTAAACAGCATGCAAGGACATCTAGAAGAAACACAGCAAACCCAACCCCACCCTTCCCCCTCCACACCTGGCCATGGCGTGCAGTTCCTTGCAGAAAGCAGCCACACAAGGGGACTGCAGAGTGCCAGGTCTTACCCTGCCCTTTGCAAATGCCTCAGCCAAGGAGTTCCCCTGCTGTCACTTACATGAGGTCAGGCCTGAAGCGATGGATGATGGCACACAGGGCAAGGCCACTTTTCCAGGAGCTGGTCAGGTCAGTGACGTTGACGTTTCGGTATCCCTCCGTCTGCTTCTGGCACCACGTCAGAAGCTTGTTAGGTCGAATATCTGACTCTGCAGAAAGGGGAAAGCAAATCTTTCAGTCAGCTTCTCATGCTCAGAAGGGCACAAATGTTAAGCCACAGCAAACAAGAGATGCCACTTACCCTGTCTTGTGAGGTTCACTGATCTTCTAATGGAGCTCACTCTCTCAAGAGGACACTGCTGTAGCTCATTGGTAACATATAATTGTCTCACCTACAAGGAAAAGCAATCACCAGCATAACATCAGACAAAAAACCAGTTCTGTTTCCAGGTTAATTTTATCAGCAGCTGGTTCTAAATTAAGAAGTCTCCTGAAGATTTTGTTTACAAACCCCTTGCAGCCCTATTTACTCTTGATAAAAAAAGAACTGATTTCACAAACAAGTCTTTTAAGTACTGACCTGGTGAGGTCGAACACAGCTCGAGTTCAAGTTTGGGTATCTTGTTCCCGGGTCAATGGTGTACTGGTCAAAGTTCTTATTAATGTTTTCAGGGGTCGTCTGAGGCAAGAGTCGATAAATGCTCTCTCTTGGAGAGGAAAAAGATGCAAGATTTATGTATTAAAATAAATATTTATTTATAAGAGATCGGGGGTTTTTTGCAGCTGCCTCAACTTCATTTTGGTTCTGCCAGGACAAATGTTAGGGACCAAATGCATAATGTATCCATCCCATTCCTTATTCCCCATTCAGCAGAAGAATGCCAGACAGAAAAAGGACAAGATGGACACTTAGAGCTTATGCCCACATTTTCCTGAGGCAGGAATTGAGCAAGAAAAAGGAGGAAAAAAAAAAGGAGGTTACATCATCTAGTCATCTGGTTTTGCTTTAACATCTACTCAAGAAGTAACTTTTTTACCACATAATAGCACTAAATCCTGTCATCCTGCAATTCCTATAACCACCACAGCTTTTTTTACTATGCTGTTCAATTTTCCATTTGGGATTAGGCCGTGTTTGAGTCATCCCACAGGCTTCTACCTTAAAAATTCCCAAAGTGCAGTAGTTAGTAAAGCTCCTGCTTGCATTCCCACAACCATGACTCTTCCAATTACGTATGTACCCCAAAACAGCCTGGGCAGCTGTAGGAGAGCAGGGTGGCTGCCAGCAGGACCTAAGTCAGCAAATTCAACCATCAGACCATGATGACGCCAAGACTGCTGCTGTACTTGCAACAGATTTTCTTGCTCCAGTCAAAAAAAGTTTCTGGTGCAGCATTATAGTAATTCTCCACATATTTATCAGCCTAAAGAGAGCACCACTATGCCAAAATGCAGAGTTAAAATCACAGAGACCAACTCTGAAAGCTGTTACTGTTGAAGAATTTATTTAGACTCCTTTCAGGATTTTTTTTTATTTTGATGATAAACAGGTGTTGAGATGGCTGGAGGTTCAGAGTTTTTTTGATACAAGGTCTCTTTGCTCTATTTCTTTACGGATCACACTTTAGTGCCATAAATCAGTGATTTAAACCCTAACACTATTTCTCCTGATAGCACTCTGAAACCCCCAGCCTTGCAGTGGCTCTTTAAAAGGCTGGGAATGGCGGGGGGCAGAGCAGCACTCACCGTTCAGCCAGGATCTCCAGCGGGGGCTTCCCCTGCGCCCAGCCCCGCACCATCCACGCCGTGTCAAAGGCAGCCAGGAAGCCTCTTGCACAGCCAGTGCCCATCGGCCAGAAGGGCTGCAAGGAGCAGCGACACTTTAGTTTTCTGCACTTACCACAACACTAACTTTCAATGTCAATTTGGAGTCCAGGGTTTCATACTGTCTTGGAAAAATAGGCCAGAAGGGCTGCAAGGAGCAGCGACACTTTAGTTCTCTGCACTTCCTAACTTCTTACCACAACATTAACTTTCAATGTCAATTTGGAGTCCAGGGTTTCGTACTGTCTTGGAAAAATAGCCCAGAAAGAGTCAAAATGCAACACAGGCAACACTTGCAGGTTTTAAGTGTGCCTCTCCTTTAAGTCTTAGGCAGCGGAAGAAGATTACTTGTTTCACTTTTTCCTTTTTTTAACTTCTATATATAAAAACAAATTTCTTAGCCCTAAAAGGTATAGGTTGAGGATAAAAAGAAGACTCAAGAATTATTAAAGGAAAAAAAAAGATGCCCTTTTCACCTCCTAAATTTGCTTTGGACTGCTCTTTTCAAATGCCTCAGGCTGTCAGCATGAATTTAAAAAAAAGGTTGCAGCATACACTTTTCACTTCAGAAAGAAAAAAAGAGGAACATACTAAGACAAAGAGACTGCAATAATAATTTGGATCACGTTTTTGTCTATGATGCAATTCAGTAAAATTATGCCATGCACCCAAGCTGAGGACACGGAGCTCACAGTTTTTTCAGACAGAAACACAACTTGCATAAAGCAAAATGGGATCTCAGCCACAGGCTGCCAGCCAAGCATTAGCTATGACAAACTATGGCATAATAAAGGAGAAAAGAAAAAAGGGGGAAAATCTATTCCAAAGAAGGCACCACTGTTTCAAGACATGTAAAAGAGGACATTTTATACAGGAGGCTAGATTGAATGGTTGGATTAAGGAAGTAAAGTAAAACACCTGAAAATACTACTTGGAAGGCATTCCAAGATATACCTCAAGCAAACTATCTCCAACAAGAGCCACCAGGAGCTGATGTCTGTGCCTCTCTCTCACCAGCGCAGCATTTTCAGATGCATACATGGAGGTAAAATCAAACATTGCTACATCTGGCTGGCCATAATGATTAATTGCAAAATCCAAGGAAGGCAGCTGGTAGTTGGTTGCAAAGTCAGCAGCTTCTCTGGCGTAGGACAGCAAATTGCTCTGGTTCACATTTTCCCCACAGAGGAGCAGCTCGGTGTCAACAGAGTCCTGCAAGGAGAGAAGGATGTGGGATGAGAGACTCCAATGTCCTCTCTGAATTGGAACACTGCCGTCTCACAGCAGGACTGGGAGCCACACATCTCACAGCAGCACAAAACAAGTGACACTTGCCAGCTCCAAAAAGCCAATGCACAAGCACAGGTACTGCCCCAAACAGAAACTTTCCTTGCCCACACTGAACGAGCAGCTTAGTTTGCAATAGAAAACTACAGCTCCTCCCGGTTCCTTGGTGATGTGATCTTTTCAGAACATTACTTCCCTCACATCAAATATGTCATCCACATCACTGCAATGCTTTTCTGCACACGTGTACCCCCCATCTGAAACCACAGGAGAGCAGAAGCACTGATGCTGTGACATGGAGGCTCAGCCTCAAGGTTTGACTCCACATCTCAGTAATAACTCCACACTCAAACCTGAACTGTAGCAGCTTTTCTGTTCATTTTTGGGCCGGGTTTTTCCTTGGGGAGAGTGTTAAAGGACCCTGCCTTTATAGGTCATCCTACTTAAAGGCAGTGATTATTAATGAGGCAGGTTCTATTTCCAGCCTAATCATGGATGAGACCCCTAATCACAGATGATACCACAGAACTGCTATTAGCCCAGTTGCACCAGACACACTGGGGTGGTTGATTTTTTTTTTCCCATTCAGAGCTGAGTAGGTCATGAAAACAGCTCTGATGAGCCACAGCTGCTGCTCCTCTGCTCCAAAGTCCCCACAGATCCCCTGGGACTGCCCTCACCTACAAACACGAGCCCCACAATCTCAGGGCCTACACATAACAGCAGTGATTAATCATCTCGAAAACACCATCTTAAACAGACACCTATTTATGGAAATAGACACACAATCACTGAAAGTAAAGAGGATTTCAGAAAATTGCTTGAAATGAAAAATACACAATTGATATTAGTCCCTCCATTTCCAAGTTGTTATAACTTCAAGTGGGGTTCAAGTAATCTAGTGAGCCTGGAAGAAACTGAACTCAATGTCAAAGGTCATCTTTTACAGTACCACAAGTATGTGACAAATGCCATGGAGCTTTTGTTTATTTACTTTATTTTATTTATTTTATTTTGTGTTACTTAGTGCATTTACTGTACAGTTGAAGTCAGTAGAAAAGAAAAAGAACTTGCACTTAGTAGAAAAGAAAAAGAAAAAAAAGAATAAAGAGGGCAAAAAATTGCCTATGTTTGAACAAAGCTTGAGGCCAATGAACTCCAGGAGGTAGAAGATGGTGGGTTTGATTTACCAAAGCCCATTAACAGTTTAAGTTAGCATGCACAAAAACTTGATATAATATTTCCTGAACACCATCCCTTACAAACTCTAGTGGCACTGCATTTAGACCAAGGGGTTTGACCCTTCCTCTCTCCCACCCTCGTTGGTCATGGACAGCAGCTCTGCCCTGGGAGCCCAGGCCTCCCAAAGGGCAGGGAATCATGGCCCTGAGCTGAGTGGTCCTATCAGAAAGCCAAAAGCCCTCTTAACAGCTCCCCACAAGTACTTCCTTCAGGAAATTACACTTGGCTGTTTTGGCACTGCTTTGCTTTCCAAGAAAAATTGAACTCTACTGGGTTTCCAGAAAGGGAAATTTAAGTGGTGCCATAACACTTCCTAGAAACAAAAGAAAATAAACCCTATATTTTACAGAAGAAGGAAAAAAAAGAAAGAAAAAAATACCTCGAAATCACACATACCCCTGAAAGGTCAGGCCATCATGTTTATAGCCTTCTTCTATTATGTTTCACCCACTTTAAAGAATTTGCAATTTAACCTAGGGTAGGTTTTTACACTTCCTTACTTGCCTGATAAAATTGAACATAGCTGTGCTAAGTTCACCCTTAAATAACTAAGGTTTTTATTTTCTGCTGTGATGATCCTACCACGAATTTCCAAGGTGAGTCAAGATCCCATTTGGGCCAGTTTCAAAACTGATTAATTTAGGAAGTATTGTTTTCAGTTCTCTATTGAAACTTTGAGCTGACTGAAGGGAAAAAGCAAATCCTAAAAATGTCAGAGTAAGATCCAAGTGGCCTGAGCTTGAATGAAGTGATTAAGTCTATAAACACCCTGTCTAACATCCAGCAACATTTATGCAGATGTTCACACTTACTCTGTGCCAAGTAAATAAAACAGGGTTTAAGCAGCATTTTTACATACGTTAATAATCACTCCTTTGTCCAGAAGACTCTGCTTTTTTGCTGTCATCACAAAATAATGCGTGCTGTCTTTATAGTAAACAATATTCTCCAGGTCAATCCCTGAAAAGAGAGACAGACATTTGTCACTGAAGGCAGAGCTCTGCCCGTGTCATTCACCAGCAGCACAGGACTGATCCCAGCAGGTGCCTTTCCTTCTTGGGCTGCATCACCTCTCCCAGCTGGGATGAAGGATTAGAGGGCAGGATGCTGTCAAACAAAACAAGGGAGGACAGTGGTCTCACCCTGTCACTGTAGGACAAAAAATAACACAATGCAGACATGCAGCTTTTCCAAGGCCAAAAGAGAATTTTTCATTTCTGACTCCAACATTTATAGATTTCCAAAACTGACAGTGGTTTGGAGGGTGACAGTGCCACCTCTCCAATGACACTGGACAAACCAACAGTCCATCAAATTTCTCCTCCTCCATAAAAGAATGCAAAACAGTAAGTTATTGACATAAAGTGTGTGAGAAAGTTTGTTACAAGAATCAGGAGGCTTAGAAAAACTTAAAAAATCAGGGTGACATCACCCAACAGTTTTTTCTCAGCACAGTTTAAAGTTATTCAGCATTCTTTCAGGTAACATCTAGTTAACTACAGCATTAACAGTTCCTGAGGTAGAACTGGGTGCCAAGGGAGCAAAGTGTTTTTCAGGTTGCTAGGGCTCTGGCATTGGGTCTAACCAGGGGGTTTGGTTTCAATTACAATAGTTTTGTTTTTTTTTTTAAACAGTGAATGCAACTATTCTGAAACCCCTTTCCATTAAGATGTGTTTCACAGTTTATATTTTTAGTATTTACAGCAGATTCTAGGTCTTCTCAGTTTATCAGCTCCACACATCAAAAAGCAAGAATGAACTCCTCCCACAAGGGCAGAGATTTTTTCAAAGGGTTTAAGCTGTTCAGCATGTGAACGGATAGAAACAAAACAAATCATGTCTTAAGGGAAAATCTCTGGGCCCTGAAAATGCTCTTCCAAATTTGTTCAACATAGCAGACATTTTTGCAGTTGAGAAAAATTTAAACACTAAAACAAGCCATGATGTGGCAACACCCAAGCTAAAAAAATATCCCACTGTACCATAAATGGACACCTCCATCTGCAAGCTTCTGACATCAACAATATTTTATCACTTGGAAACCTTTTACACAGATTATTCAAAACTGATGTTACCAGTAATAAGAGGGTGGCCTGGCACATAGAGTTCCCCTGCTGCCTCTTGTATTTGGTAGTGGAAAAAATGAGGATGCACTCACCCGTTTCCTCTTTCAGGTCCTGGAAGAACTTCTGATTGAAGATGAAAGCAACCCCACTGATTTCTTCTACCTTGGCTTCTGCAGTTGTATTTCTGTTTATAAAATTGGCAGTGATTGCTATAGCCAGCTTTCCACGAAATTCCTTCCTCCTGAAGCCTGCAGAGCAAAGACAGGAATTAAAACCACTGCAAGCTTCAGACTGGACTTTCAGGGAGGTCAGCTCAAGGCAGCTCAATGTCCTTCCTACACTTCAAACAACATGCCATCAGGAGATTCCACCTCCAAAATTCCTTTGAATATAAAGAGTCTTTTCTCCCCATTTTCAGCTGCAAAGCTAGAGCTGCACTGCATTCAAGGTAAAGTCTCATTGAAAAATGGTTGGATGGGGAACTAAGGGAAGAACTTCAGGAAAAACTATGACTAAAGAAAAACGTGGAAATTTTTTTTTTACATGTCTGGGAATACAACAGGTCAATTTCAGTGGAGGGAGACATTTTTAACATGCTAAATGGCAAGTTAGGTATTTCTAATATAGGCAGTAAACAGCTCTTGAAAAAATATGCAAGAGATCAGCAGTCAAAAAGCAGCAGAGAATGATGTGAAAAATAGAAACCTCTGTAGCAGTGCTTAGGTGCACACACCACCAGCTAATGAGATTTTCCACAGGTATTTGGAATTGAAAAATATTTAGTGGGTAAACTGTTTATTACCAAGGTGAGACCAACTGAGAAGCTCCTTGCTCCATCTCTGCTTTCACTTTTCACTGAAAAAAGCCCCCTGAGCCACAATCCTGCAATCACACATTGAAGTTTTTCCATCTGTATGTTCCCCTCATCTGTTACTAAATTATGAAGTAGAACTGAGGATCCTTCATGTATTTTTGGCTCACTGCAGATGACATCATATGAATATGCTATTTTATAGCAAGAAATAAATTGGTTATGGATTTTGGTCTCTGTGCTTCTTGATATGCTCTTGTTACTTCATTGAGATAGATTTGATAAGACAACACCAGCTTCTGTACATATCTTCAGTGCACCAATCACTCCCCTAGATCCTGGTATGATGATAAACATTAACCTCTTGACAGAGTCTGCAGGTGAGGTAAGAATAATTAGGTTTTGATGGTACCTGACTATTTAAACAGTGTTTTATGAGGGACAGCCAGATAACAGCGTAGGGAAATTTCCAGTACAGCATTATAAGGATTTAACTGTAAGCACATTGTAGTTGGCAGATAAAAGAATAAACAGACAAACCCTGAAGCCAATAAAAAAAAGGAAAAAGTGTACTCAGAGAATGGAAACTGGCTTGGATATAATTAGAGTTAAAAGGGAAATGCATAACTAAGTAAAAGGTTTGTTCCTGTGATGCAGGAACAGCTTAGACAGTGTCTCTCTAAGAAACACAGCTCAGGTGCTCTGAATTCTCAGCAGTGATTCAAGTTCAGGAAACATTTACACCCTCTACTCCCACAAACCTTAGAGGTATTTATTACCTTTTACCATTGTTTCTAAAGGAGCTGCTTCTGAAGTTCAGTCTCATTTACAAAGAAGCAAAGCCTCTGTTGCCTTCATTAAATACCTGGCAGTCATCTTTTAGTCACGAGTTCAAGCACACAGGGGAAATTCACAGCACAACAGCAAAGGCTATGCCATTCCTGACCTATATCTTGTCAGCTTCCTTCAAGTTAAATCATCATATAATTACTTAACCTTGAAGCAAGCCCAATGACACCACAATGCATTCTGTAGGCAGTGCAAATACACAGAGCTCAGAAGCAGTAATGACATTAAATATCTTTTACTCTGAGCTACAACTTAGTAACAAAACCAAAAGGTACCACATAAAATAACAGCTTTCACACAGACTTCCATGGACTGAAAGGTAACCTGCTGCTTTGTCTCTTTCTTTGCTCTGACTTTCAGATCTTTCAAGGTACCCTAAAGACCAGTAATAAGGCTAAAAACACACATTCACTCACCTTCCAAGGTGTTCCTGCGGCCGTCTGCACCAATGATAACATCAAATTCATACTCTGACAAAGGGTGATCCATGGGGAGAAACTCAGCTCTCCAACCCATCTCTGAAAATACAAATAATATTTATTAATTCTTCAGTATTACAACAGAGCAGTGATTTCAGAGTCTGAGGAAAGGGCACTGAGATACAGGGGTGCATTTCTCATTCTCTGGATCACCTAATGCAGCAGCTTCCTCTCAGAGCCACACCACAAGAAGATGCTCAAGCATTTGATTCTCACAGAAACAACCCCCCAGCCACCTTATCAGGGCAGTACATACACGTGGTTACTGCAAGAAAGAACTGGCTACTCAAAGAGGAAAAATAGCATTCCATCATCAGTGCTTTTAATTGTCTTCTAAATAGAAATTAAATGGAAGCATACTCACAAAGCTAAATTTATTCTTTTTACAAAGCTGATTATGTGAAAGTGTTTGTACTGTCTGTGTTTTAAAATTATATATGCTTTATTTAAACTAATATGCTTGTTCTGCTGTCACTATGTGACCCTTCGAAGAGATACCAGAGAGTTTAAATTAAAATTTTAAAATGGATATTACATCCAAAAAACTAATATTTAAAAATAATAGAGAATTAGAATCTTTTTCTATTGTTTAAAAATCTTGCATAAGAATGCTGATAAGACTCTGTGTGCCAGTGGGAGTTATATCAAATGTGAATGTAAAAACAAGGCCCTGGGCACTTCATCCATCCTCAATATTTATATTATCAAGAAGATCCTGAGAAGCCACACCAGACTCCCTACAAAGCCTCAAACACGTGCCAGAAGGCATAGTGCAAAACCTGAGCTTCTCAGCCTGGGCTGTGTTTTAAGATTTATCAGTGCTCTGTCACACTGATACTTATCACACTGCACAGAACAAGGCTGGCTGAGTAAGGAGGGCAAAAAACTCTTTATTTCTGTCAAGTGTTTGACTGCCTTATGCAACTTCACGTAACACCTGGCACAAAAAGAAGTTGCTGTGAGCAGAATGTATTATGATAAATAATACTTTGGTTTTCTTGATCTTCAGGAGGCTCCAGGACTTTCACGAATTCCAGGTTCACGTGAATTTCCACTCCAAGGATAAGTGCAACTTTGAAGAGGATGAGCTGAAGCTGTCGAATACCTGTGGAGAGCAAGTGACAAAGATGTATTTGATAAGTAAGCAACCCCAGCTGCCACCAGCCTGCTAGAGAGCTGAAATTCACTGTTAACACAAGTGTGCAGCATTTCTATTTCCCATACTGTAATGAATGCAAACATAGCAACTACCACAGGATGTTGTTCTCTTCCGCCTCCCTTTCCTCTTGCAGCACAATCTTGTGGGCAAAACTCATTTCAGCTGAGTTTCTTAGAATGCTTTTGTAGAGGCTTGCCTCTTGATGACATTTAAAAGATCTGCTAACCAGCACATTTTAGAATACAAAATTTTACAGTATATTTCCCTGTAAAATAGTCCATTCTGTTATTTGTGTCTACCTTCAACATACTGGAAATAAATATCAATATTCTTCATACCTCATAATCACAAGCTGTTGTTTAACCATACCAGACTAACAAGAAAATCTGCTTCATAAGACTGTGACTTGTTCTATTTCCACCTTGCTTAAACAAGACCATTTTTTTTCCTCTCTGTGTGCACACATGCACTGGCACATGGTTAAGGCTGATGAACTTTCTGCCAAAAAAGTTCTGTCTCCACCAATCTTCTGATCCAGGCAAGCTCTTATCTCAACAGCGTCCATGCCCTCAGATACTTACTGATGTGATCAATAGATCCTGCGCAGAACTTGCCATAAAATTTCTTTGCTCCCAGTCCCCGAAGGTCGTGGATGGTAAAGGGCCAGAGGTGCAGCACGTTGTTCCTGGAGAAAGTGTCCCGCTTCTCCACCACGACAACCTTGGCTCCCAGGAAGGCAAGCTCTATGGCAGTCCGCAGGCCACAGGGGCCACCTCCGATAATTAAACACTGGCAGAGAAAAGGAGGGGTGGGACACAGGGTTTTGGATTACTTCCACACAGTTTCCATCTTACTCTGTTGGTATGACTTGAAATAAAACTGGACTTGCACTGCTGTGAGCACAAACAAGTAATTCACTTAAATCAACGGAATTTTTCTTGCATGTGGTGCTCAGCCTATGTAAAAAGAGGATAAACTGTGCTTAATGCAGACACAAAAGCATCAGATGAAGAGAAGTAAGAGAAAAAACAACAAAAAGCCGAACATTTTTGAGCATCTGCTTGCACATTTCTAACCCTCACTTAGCGTTTCTCAAGTGCTTGCAGCTGTTTCTCAACAGCACTACAGTTGTGTAAAAGGGAGGGGAAAGGAAATAAGTGGTCTTAGTGCAGGCTTTTTTTATTTTAAAGAGGAAATGGGTGTACATTTACTAGATTTGTTGAACAAACCTACGATAAGCCAGTAGCCTTACACTATTAGCTACTCTCTTTCAAGTGAGGGTGGATGCAACAGCCTGGTTCACCCAGGATGGAAGGAGGACATGCCAAGGGAACTCAGCAGACTTGCACTCCTCTGCCAGGGCCAGAGAACTCATCCTGTCCTATTCCATTTCACCCAGGGCTAAACATCCTCACTTTCAGGAAAATCACACTTCAGAAGCTTAAATCTATGTTGGAAGAATCTCTTCCAAAACAATTACAGAGGATTCCTGCCCAAATTTTAGTTGACAGCTGTAATTTTTCACAGACCAACAAGGAAAGGATATCCAGAAAGCAAACTAATTAAACCCCAAGCATATCTAGTGCTTACATTCCCTTGACTGATTACTAAAACCTGATTAGAAGCAGTCTCATAGCTGGACAATGCTGTTGGTCCCTATCTCCTACGAACCCCTTCCACTCCTCCAAACGCCCCCAGATTTCCCAAAATCCCTGCTGTGGGTTCCAGCTGTGCCCTGGCTGGAGCAGGGACAGCGAAGGTGGGTCTGGGAGGATGGGAGAGCCACAGCACAGCCAAGCTGGGCCGTGCTGCCCATCCCAGACCTTTGTGTCAGAGGCCAGACACGCTGCCGGGTGTCCCACACACAGAGCCAGGCGCTGACTGCAGTTTCAAAGCAAGCACGGGCTCTATCTGCAGCCTCGCTGGATTCCAGTCTGGTTCCCATTACATTGCAATTGCAGAAAGTAGAGTCATTTGTTTATTTTGGTTTGGTCATCATTTGTTTTCAGATCCAACAACTTGAGCAAAAAGTATCTGGTGCTGACTTCTGTCCAACCCAAATCATAGAAGTGCAAAAATGTCTTTTTTCAATTTAATAAATAATTCTAATAAATTCCCATTGAAAGAAAAACTCCTGTGAGGTGCTTTGGCTTTGCTTTAGGCAAGTGGTTTGTTAAGCAGAGATATTAAAGTTAGGCTGTTGCCTTAGCCACTTGGCTTTGTTCCTTGTAAAAGAACATATTTAATTCACAATTTCTGAAGAACACTCCTTGCTGCATGATGAATATTAAAAAAAATAAAAATCAACAGATGTAACAATATAAAGGAAGAATAACAGAGGGCACATGAAGCCTAGCTGTAGAGGATCTTTTTGCACATGCTCCCTATGATTAGCATGGGAACTCTGAGGTCTGACAAGTGAGTGACTCAATTGAGCCTTCACAGCTTGCAGTCATGTTGAGCAGGCAGTCAGAAACATTTTACAAAGCAAGCCCATACATGGTCTGATAAGGTGAGGCTGCTTTTTTTTTCGCTTACAAGCTGTATTATACATAAATAAATGCAACTTTAAAGAAAATAAAAAATAAAAAGAAACAGCAGTCTTAGGAGATTTAGTCATAGCAGACTCTGCCAAGTAACAAAACCCGCACAGAAAACCCTTCGTTCCTCCTGGTGCTTTGCAACACACTATGTCAGCATTTTAAGGAGGATTCTGCCCTCTTCCCTCCTCCTATCACATTGACAAAGTATCTTCATAATTGCATAGAGACACCATGAAAAATGGCTGTATGTTTGCCACCATCCGTGGTTACCTCCAGAAACACACTTATCTACATCTCAGAGCTATTTGTTCTAAGATTTATTGAGGACGCTTCCTGCTGGTGTAGAATTTACTCTTGGCACTTCTTCATCTAATTTTGAAACTTCTGGGGTCAAAACCAGTACAAAATCCTTGCAAAAGTAATACTTACTACATTTGTGTTCCTAACGTTATTAAGCAAGGGAAGGGCCCATGCCACTCCCCTGTGGTCTGCCTGCCAACAGACTCCCAGAAGAAACCTTCCTGCAGCAGGAACTTTGAATGGCATCCTATTTTCCCCTCCTGTTATCCCAGCCTCCTGGCTCATCAGGGCCTGCTTTTGGAACTAATTTCTTGCAATTTAACACAAATCATGACAGCTGGCATCACGCAGGGAGTCTCAAACAATCAATCCTGAATGAACAAATGCCAAGGGCTTCTTGACATCCCCATCACCATTCACACATCAACTGCCTTTTAACAGTGCCAGATCATCTCCCACAAAGCTAAAGGACAACTTGACTTTTCAAGGCATCTCCCACAAATTATCCCAAGTAACAGCTGCTGAAAAGAAGAGACAAAGAGCTTTTGCATATTTCTTGCTCAAGCTGGAAACGAAGGGAGAAAGTCTTGTTTAGTTTTATGAAAGAATAAGATCATGACCAGACTTCTATAACCTGCCTGAAGAATCAGTATCGTGTTGGATGTTACATCTTGTTTTACCACTGAGATAATATTACTGAGAGAAGACTTTTTTTTGGTGAAAATCTCCTAGTGCAAATGGCTGATCATCTGCCTGCAGATGTGCATGAATATTTTCTGTCAAAAGAGAAGCTTCATTGAATTTCACATATTTTCCAAGAACAGCACCTATGTTAAGGCAAAATTACAGAAAGAATGTGGGTTACAAAATTCCCATTGAATGAAACTAATGTAAGTTTCCAGGCCAGTAATAATTGCCTAGTGACTAACTTGGGACTATTTCAGTTTAAATTCATACTTAATAAGTAAAGCATGGACAATTTTGCACTTCACAATAAAACACTAATAAGCCTATGCATATTTTATAAAAGTTGTTTATTCAAGTTGCTGAGTAAATAGTCTGTTTCTATGATACTGTTAAAAAGTATCATAGAAACATGTACTCTTCCCTAAAAGATGATTGTTTCTGTATAAATCTTGTCCCACACTACAACCAAGCGCAGTACACAATGCATTATCTATTTTCAGACAGAAATAGAACAGATTCTATTCACTGATTTCTTCCTTGTGCAATTTAAATGTATCAGAAATTTTCACTTATATTTACTAATATAAACACACACAGCATTTGGTAAGTCTCCTAAGCTTGATTCCACTCAAGGGTCAGGCTGACTGTAAGAGATGCTACTTTCTCTCTCCATGTTTAGGAAGAGCAGTGCCTTGAAAATCTCCAAGAAATATTCCCAGTGCTGAGCTAAGAGGCAGCACAAGTCACCTCTCCAATAGCAGAATGGCTTCTGTGCCAGGCACAGGATTTTGATTTGATCTCCTGTAGATAATGTACTCAAAATAGGAGGGAAGGGAGAGGGTCTCTTGCAATCCCTCCTTTCCCCTGCTGTTAAATCAGCAGCAGCCTGTGAATCCAGGAACCTGCATCCCCTTGTGGAAAAACCATATGCAGTTAAACAGCTGAACACCACCGCTATGTTTAACAAAAAATACCCAGACAAACAAACAAAAAAAACTCCAAACCAACAAACAAAAAATCCCCACAACACCAACAAAAAATGCAATAAAACCCCTACCTCAAAATAACACTCCACAACAACCTAGTCACAAAATTCTCATCCACTACAACTGAAAGGCTGAATCTATTCATTGACCTTGAAAAATTAAAAAAACATTAGCTCTCAGCATTTAGATGCTCAAGGAATCTAGCAGGTGGTAGAAGCTGGGTGTGGGAGATACAACAAACAGCATCTCTTGGCATAGCTAAGAGCAGACAAATCCTGTTGTGGCCCAGTGCATTATCCCATTGCTGTTATCCCACTCTAAACCCCTCACTCCTCTCCTGCCCAAGGTACCCAAATATTAAATTCATCTTGGAAAATAAGGGGGTGTTAAATGATGATCCACTCCCTGTATGTCCTTGGGATGAAGACAGAAGCTTCAATAATTCCAGGAATCCAAGATTTCCTAATTTCTGCCTTTCAGCTGTTTTGGAGGTGATAAAAAGGGGATTATTTTTATCCTCTAGCTCAACAACAGCTGGACAGACAGGCACACCCTTCGTTGTCTTATGGCATGCCAAGCCAGAAGCATCACTGCTACTCTTCAGTGCAAATGGTGAAAAAACAGCAAAACCCATCTGCCCAGGTTACTGAACTGCCTTTAGCCAAACCACCAAATGGAAGTTGAACTAGAGGCATGGATAATGCTCCCAGAAAGGAACAGAAAGGGGCGGCTTTCCCACAAGCCTCAAAGCCCCCAGATCATGGATCGTGCTCCCACAAAGGGGTGGCTTTCCCAAAAGCCTCAAAGCCCCCTGATCATGGATCATGCTCCCAGAAAGGGGTGGCTTTCCCACAAGCCTCAAAGCCCCCTGATCCTCACAACCACAGGTGCCCTCAGCAGCTGTGGGCGTCCCCACCCAGTGACAGGAGGCTCTATGTAGGAAACAGAAGGACAATGCTTTGCTTTTCCACAGCAAACATGCATTTCCATAGTCAGCAGGTCGGGGTCCATGAGAGAAGACAACTTTCACACCGGCCCAGGCCTTTGTGCGACACCCAGAGTGACAGGGGTGCACCAAGGACTAATTTGGCTGATTCCAGAGGGTTACATCCTGCATGGATTTGGACAAGTGCTTATTGGTGATGGGGCTTAATGTGCTGCAACACAAGACAGGCACATAACACATTTTCTGTGCCCGTTCCCCTGGAAAGGCTCCAGACAAAAGCAGCTGCACAAGCAGCTAAGGCAGAGGCCACCAGGAGCTTTCTCTGCC